ACGCCTGTAATCCCAGCACTTTGGGAGGCTGAGGCGGGTACATCACAAGGTCAAGAGATCTAGACCATCCTGGTCAACATGGTGAAACCCCATCTCTACTAAAAATACAAAAATTAGCTGGGCGTGTGCCTGTAGTCCTAGCTACTTCGGAGGCTGAGGCAGGAGAATAGCTTGAACCAGGGAGGTGGAGGCTGCAGTGTGCCGAGATCACGCCACTGCACTCCAGCCTGGCAACAGAGCGAGACTCCATCTCAAAAAATAAAAAGAGTCACCTCTTATTCAGTCACTCTCCAGCCCTCCTCTGTGAAACATGTGTTGTCCATCAGTGCTTGTCTCCTGGTGCTTAGGCAGGACGGGTCTTCACCGTGTGCCCTATTCCGGGCCCTGCGGGAGCTCTAGTATCTCCATCCCACCTTCTAACTGCCAGAAACGCCATCAAATAGGCCCAGATAACACAATCGACCAAAGCCTGCGACTCTAAGGCCGGGTATAAGAAAGGAGACAGAGATTTGGCCTAGGTGTGTGGGGATGCAGCATGCACACAAATCGTATGGTACAGGGGAAAACGCTCTCAACAAAGACAGCAGAAGTACAAGTGTGGGCTCAGGCAAGGCCAAGTGAAGGAGGTACAGAAGAGCAAACTGGGGGCCTCCTGTCAAATTCAACTCCCTCTTTTGGGTTGTTTATACTCTGTGAATTTTTTATTTTGACTATGGTGCAACGTCTTACAGGCCCTGCTGCCTCACCTGTGCAGTTTCCAGTATGTGACCTGCTGACCTGCTCCTGTTCAGAGGCTCAGGGTCTCTGATCCCAGCAGAAGGCAGTTGGGCTGGATGACACTGACCTGGCTCAGCGTGCATCCCTCACCCTTCCTGACCAACTTCACCCATGAAGGCCTGTGAGGGGACTTGCTGCAGCTTCCCCTGCCAGGGCAGGGAGAGGGACCCAGGACGTCCACACGCAAGGGTAGTGCTGGCCTCTGGCCTCTCACAGTCACCCCTCAGCAAAGAGGGACTCCCCAGGGGTCATCTGAGCTGCCTGGGGTATAGTACGCTCCAAGGTCAAGCTCCACAGCATAGGGACCAGTCCCCTCCCTGGCCCTGAAAGGGCTCCCATCTGCCTGTTTGAGAATCCTTATACCTGTGACTGAGAAGTGCCCCAGACCACATAAGAGAGGGTGTACCCTGGTGCAGGACCAGGCCTGGCACACACATTAGGTGGCTCCAAGGTGCCCAGGAGAGACTGTCAGGGGCAGGAAAGGAGAAATCTGTGCACTTGTATGGCAGTCACTGTGCGTGCTGTGTCTGAATGCTGTTTACCAGGCAGGTCCACATCCCCTCCCCACCTCAGCCAGGGGAGCTGCAGGTCATAATTCAAAACAGGGTGTCTCTGCCAGAGGCCTGGGAGGTGGCACAACATCCCCTTCCCCAGGGGAACCAATGGCTGCCTGACAGTGGGTACAAAAGCTCAAAGCTTGGTCCCTTCGCCTGAAGGCAGGACAACCTGCAGGCAGCCTCCCTTCCCTACCCAGCTGCCCAACAAAGCACTTTCTCTGTAAACCAAGGGCAGCAGAATCCTGCCTCAGGCTCAGTCCCTGGGAAACCAATCTGAGCCACTCACTTTCTCCAAGACAGGGCCCCCCGCTGGAGGACCCAGAATACCCTGGGACTCCACAGCAGGGAAAGAATCAGTGAGGAGGCAACTTCAACCCAGCAGAAAGGTGCTCAGATGCGGAGCCCTCAAGAAGCAGCAACAGAGCAGTGCTTAGGCTTCAGTGCTAGCCAGTGTTGGCAGGGGAGGAGGTTCCTGAGATGCCCAAATAACCAGGTTCAAGGCAATGTAAGAAAGGAGCTAGGAGGGGAAACAGAAGTGACCGAAAAGAAACCAAAATGCTGCCTGTGATTGTATTACAGCTGGAAGATTATGGCATGATTTCTTTTTTCATCTGTTCTCTCAGTTTTCAACATAAGGTCATTTTGTATATAAAAGGATACCTTTAAAAGGAGCAAATGAAATATAAATTATGGAACACTTTCAATCATGCAAAATATCTAGAAGGAATCAGGAACTTGTCACAAAACCAGTACTGGCTGGGTATAGTTGGAGAGACTCAATTAGAGCCTGGCAAATTAGCCAGAGGCTGCAAGTCCCCAGGTCTAATGGCATGGGACAGGGAGGGATCCCAGCAGCTCCTGCTCCAACTCAGTGTCCATCACTACAAAACTTCCCAGAGATCACTTCCCCTTCTGGGGCTCAGGTTTTCCCATATGAAACACAGGATGTTTAAACCAGATGACCTCTAAGGTTCCCTTGGCCCTAAAACTGTCCAATTTTGATGCTATAAAATAAAAAAATAAAATAAAATAGGAAAAGTAAACATGAAGCTGCTGCTGGCTCAGGCACACACAGTGATTTCTGTAAACTTAGAGCTCAGCTGCAAATTCAAAGGATGTGCAAATGTTCCCACAGGGTCTGGCAGAATTCTCATTTTCTTTTTCGTCTCAGAGACTTAACAATGAACTCTCTGGATGAAGAGGTAATGTTCTTCCCAGGTTTAGAGGACTGTGGATATATGTCTATAGTCCGGCTCTTAAAATCTCCAGAGGAGATTCTTCAAAACTGCAGCAATAGATGACTACACTAGGAACAGCACTACTAAAAATAAATATTCTCAATGCTTGATTGACAGAATGTCTTCCTGTCAAGTTAAGGGGGAACCACAATCACAAACACCTCTGAGAAGACACTTTGGATAGCAGTCACACATCTGCAGTCACACATCTGCAATACAAACTGCAGATCAACGCCAAACACATTATAAGGTACTTATCACTTCCCTGATGCATCAGAGATTAAGAATGTTTTTTTCCTTTTTCCTACCAAGTAAATTAAAATTCACCAACACCCTTCAGCTCCTCTCAGAGAAGAAAATGACGTTGGGGGGAAAAAGTGTTGTTAGTTTAGAAAAAGAAAAAAAAGTACAGCTATAGAATTTCAGAGAAAGTAACACACAAATATATCCAAAGGGATTCACTTGAAACAAGCTGTTTTTAATAACCAGTTTCCTCTTTCTTGCCCACATACTAAGAGTACAGACAACTTCAACAAGAGAATGAGCATGTATCCCCGCCACAGTATTGACTAACAGCTGATTTTCCCACACAAGACAAGGTCTTAGACTGGGATACAGAAAACCTAATGTCCAAGTTCAGCCTCTGACATCAGGCCAGAAATAGGAGCCTCCAGGCGCATAAAGCACTAAACCCAAAATGCAATGGGCTGACCTAGTACGTCTTGATTTCAGGAAGGAGACCTTCAAAAAAGAAATAGGGCAGGCCAGGTGCAGTGGCTCACGCCTGTAATCCCAGCACCTTGGGAGGCAGAGGCAGGTGGATCACTTGAGGTCAGGAGTTCAACACCAGCCTGACCAACATGGTGAAACCCCGTCTCTACTAAAAATACAAAAATTGGCCAGGCGAGCCAGGCATGGTGGCTTACGCCTGTAATCCCAGCATTTTGGGAAGCTGAGGTGGGTGGATCGCCTGAGGTCAGGAGTTCGAGACCAGCCTGGCCAACATAGTAAACCCGTCTCTACTAAAAAATGCAAAAAACTAGCTGGGTGTGGTGGCAGGCGCCCATAATCCCAGCTAGTCGGGAGGCTGAGGCAGGAGAATCGCTTGAACCGGGGAGGTGGAAGTTGCAGTGAGCCAAGATTGCGCCATTGCACTCCAGCCTGGGCAACAAGGGCGAAACTCCGTCTCTAAAAAATAAAAATAAAAATAAATTAGCCAGGTGGTCTGCACCTGTAATCCCAGCTACTCGGAAGGCTGAGGCGGGAGAATCGCTTGAACCCGGAAGGTGGATGTTGCAGTGAACCGAAATCGCACCACTGCACTTCAGCTTAGACAACAAAGCAAAATTCTGTCTCAAAAAAAAAAAAAAAGAAAGAAAAAGAAAAAGAAAAGAAAAGAAATAGGGCAAGTAGTGCAAGCAACAGAGAAAGCTGGCTGGTCTGAGCTTCAGGCATCACACATACACGCACAGACTAATACTCAGACTTACACACATGTCCAGGCTTACACACATGGCTCTCTCTGTCACGTGGTCACACCTCGTTCTGCCTCAACCTTGACCCAGCCTTGGAGTACCCTGGGGGTAGGAAGGGCGGAAGCCCATCTTTTCACCCCTAACAGGGCTGGGCTGGGAAGCTGAGGGGGTTCAGTCGCGCCCACGCAGCCTTGCCAGGGGCAGGAGCTCCATTTCCCCGGGTCTGCAAAATGTAAGGGCTGGACCGCACCGCCCTGTCAGTGTCGGTCTCTGGTTTCATAGGTCCTTGTGGTTCCACAGGATTACACTTCGCAACCGATCCCATGGAGAACTCCCAACCCGGGAGGGAGGGTGATGGAAATGCCCTGAACGTCAGGACCCACTAGAGGCAGCCTGAGGGGAAGCGCCGGCTTGCCTCGCCTCACTTCGCCTCTGTAAAGCGGCCCCTGGGGTTCCCTCCGAAACTCCTTTCCTCCAGGGTCTCCGTTCCTACCCGCGACGCTAGGCGCTGCGCTTCGTCTCCCACAGACCCACTTCCCATGCCAGGGCGAGGGCGGTCACAGACAAATCCGAGCCGGGATCCCAGACACAAGGGAAGTGCGGCCCAATGGCCCCGGCGCCCCCTCTCGGGTCAGGCGGGCCCGGGCCCTGCGGTCCCAGATGGAGCTCCCCAGGCCACCCCTCCTCCCGCACAACGCAGAACACGCGGGTCACCGCCGCCAGGCTGGGCCCGCTCTGCTCGCGCCTCACCGGCGCGGAGGCCCAGCCGGCGCCATGACATGAGCAGTGGTGGCGACCCGCGCGCTCCCGCCGCCACCGCCTAGCGCCCAGCGAGAGCGCGCCGCGCACCTGCCGGCCCTGCCGGCCTCCAGGCGCCCGCCCAGCCTCTCAGCGCGAAGGCCCGGCCCGGCCCGCGGCCCCCGCCCGCCCGCCCGGCCGGCCGCGCGCCTCACCAGCGGTAGCAGCCCTCCGAGGCCTCCAGCGTGAAGTTAACGCGCGTGGCCCGCGTGAAGGGCAGCAGTACTTTGGGGATGTTGAGCTTGGCCGCAGCGGCGGAGGGGCCCAGCGCAAGCAGCACCGACAGCGCCAGCAGCAGCAGCCCCCGGCCCCGCGCCGCCATCCTCGCCGCGCGTCACCTCCCGCGACCCTGCGCCCGGCCGCCCGCGCCGCCCTCGTTGCCCTCCGCTCCCGCCCGCGCGCGCCGGGCCAGCAGGTGATGAGCGCGGGGGCGGGGCGAGGGCCGCCGCCGGCGGCCGCTTCCTGGGCCCGAGCGCGGGAACTCTGGGGGCCGAGCTCGCGGAGACCCCACCCCCCAGCCCGGCCCGCGCGCTGGAACGCGGGGCTGGGGGATGGGCGCGCGCCCGGGCCCCTGGAACTGAGGGAGAGGGCTTGGGGCGTGCCCGCGAGAGGAGAGGCTGAGCGCGCGCGCCCGTGGAGACCCCTAGACCCTAGAAGGCCCAAGGGGGAGCCCCCGGGCGCCCCGCAGCACGCATCCCGCCCCAGTCTGTGCCCCTGGCGGTGGAGCCAGGCCACCGGCTCTGGACCTTGCGCTCAGGCCCGGACCCACGGTCAGCAAGGAAGGGACACATGCTCCAGGACATTTGGGATGCAGAAAACCGGAGCCTGCCTTGTCCCAATCCATGCTTCCCAGAAGAGGGACCCCGGGCTCGCAAAGGGAAGCCACTTGCTGATGCGCTGAAGGTCCGGGGCCCCCTCCGCCTCGACCCTCTCACACCCTTTCCAGAGAGGCCTTAAGATCCCCATTTCTCCAGGAAAAAACCGGTTGAATGGCTCCCACATCACTCAGCCAGAGAGCCCCAAGCTCTTGTCCTCCGCACTGCACCCCCTGCGGAAGCCATTAGAGGTTACCCGTAGGTCATTTAGGGCGCCAACTCTGCCAGAGAACAACCCCCTCCACGGCCCCCACACCCACAAAAGAAAGTTCAGCACCGCGGAATCCACCCGCACACCAATGGAAAGCCTTAGATTCCGCGCTGTGCTCTGTGGCTTTTAGCTGTCTTTGTCTTGAGTTGCATGAAGGCATGCGTCAGCAGGCACCTGACTGCTTGGTGCCGCTAAAATATGAATCTAGCCTTGCAGAGAAGGCCCAGCCTAGCGAGAGGTCAGGAAAGGGTGGGGAGAGGGTGTACCTACCGGCCGGCTGTGTAAGGAGTGCAGGAAGTGGATGCTGACTGTAACCTGAAGACACACAACGATGCCACTATAAACGTCAGTCAGGCTCGGAAGGCCTTTTGGAGGCGGCGGCTCCTGGGCTGGGCATAGCCACCGCACTGGGCTTCAGCGAGGCCCGCATGGGCTGAGCCTGCCCCTCAGGGATCATGGGGCTTTTGGGTGGTGATGCGGGGTGTTTGGGATCACCCTCAAAGCCTGAGAGCCCTAGACCAGGGAACGTGTGTGTTAGGGGAAATCTCCGGAGACACCAGAACTAAGAGGGTGAGGGTCTGCCTTGTGTGGAACCAGGTGCTGTGGGAGGGGAATTCCAACGGGCTCCCTTTGAAGAAACAAAAAACAGACTTGTGCGGAAAAGGCAGCCTCAGAGTGGGTATTTGTGAGGAAGTCTGTGGGTGTCTTGTGGGTTGCACAAGACTGATTTGTTTTCCAACAGGTAATCCAGACAGATGGTTGAAACTTAGGCTCAAAAGGGTTCCAAGTGAAAGTGATTCCTCTCCCTCCCCATCACCCAATACCCTTCCCTATAGGCAATGAGGGTTTCCCACTTGAGTATATATCCAGAGAAATATTATGCATACAAGCATATATATATAAAATATGGCACACATACACATACATGCACACACATATGTATGTATGAAATGACACATATACACACATATACATATGTCTTGCCAGGCAGGTAAATCTCACTCTTGAACATTTTTCCTAGAGAAATGAAAAGTGATGTTCCCACAAACACCTGTACATAAAATGTTCATAGCAGCTTTATCAAATAGGCCCAAACTGGAAAAAGCACAGAGGTCCTTCATGGGTGATGATTAAATACTGTGGCATATCTATGCCATGGAATATTATTCAGCAACAAAAAGAAATGAACTGTTGATACATCCATCTTGGATGAAGCTCCAGGGAATTATACTGACTGGAAAACAAACACCACAAAAGCACAAAAAGTTACATATTATTTACTTGCTTTTATACAAGATTCTTGAGATGGCAAAATTATAGAAGTATAGAGCAGGTGAGTGAGTGTGGGGTCAGGGGTGGCATGGGGTAGGAAGTAATGTGGCTATAAAAGCTCAACGTGAGGAGTCCCTGGGATGGAAATGCTTGGTGGCTTGACTGTATCAATGTCTGTTTCCTAGTTGTGATATTATCCCATAGTTTTGCAAGATGTCCACTAATGGAAACAGGATAAAGGGCACATATTATAGCATCTCTCTTGTTATTTGTTACAACTGCATGTAATCTACAATTATCTAAAAAAAAAGTTTAATTACACAGACAAAAAAAGAATCATACAAACAGGCCCAGCAAAATATATCTGAGTGGACACAGCTTGCTAAACAGCTATGTTTCAGGTGATTTAAGGCAATCAGGAAATTTTCCCAGCAGAAAACAATCCATAGAAGACAACAAAATGGGCCAGGCACGGTGGCTCTCGCCTGTTAATCCCAGCACTTTGGGAGGCCAAGGTGAGCAGATCACCCGAGGTCAGGAGTTCGAGACCAGCCTGGCCAACATGGTGAAACCCCATCTCTACTAAAAATACAAAAATTCACCAGGCATGGTGGCATGCATCTGTAATCCCAGCTACTGGGGAGGCTGAGGCAGGAGAATCACTTGAACCTGGGAGGTAGAGGTTGCAGTGAGCTGAGATCACGCATAGGCGACAAGAGAAAAACTCCATCTCAAAAAACAAACGGAAAAAGGCAACAAAATGATGGGTAAAACGTTTTCCATCTGAGATTTTATCCCTTTATGTTGTCCTTAAACTTGCCCCCAGACCCCATTTCACTTGCCTACAAACCTGGTATGGGATGGTATCTGGGGCCAAGCCAGGGGTCCATGTGTAGGGGCCACCCCCACCTTCTCTGTGTGGACTGTTTCCATTCCCTGGCATTGGGCTCCTTCTCTGGGTCTCAGTGTTTATCTGAGATGCAGGGAGTCAGCCATGGACGATGACCTGAGCAGAGCCTTCCCTCCTGGGCACAGAGACCCTCTGGGCTGGAAGAGGCCACAGATTTGAGCAAGCCAGTTACCCACCTGATAACTAAAACCAAATAAGAAAATGTCTCCTGACCCTCATCAGTGCCTCCCAAACTTCTGTCACTTTCTACCACCCTAAAACATTTTTTAAAATAATATCTGAGTACCACCTGTACTCTTATTTCCTGTCTTTAAATCAAAGTGTTTACATATATTTACTTAAGAAGCAAACTTTGTCTCTTCTGTAAATAAAAAGCCATTATCAGTTTGCAAAATATAATAGAAGTAGCCATAAAATAAATACAGCGAAACAAAAGAATGCCTTCAGATTACTGGAGGATACTATTTCCTGCTAAGGGCTGAGAGCCCAAGGCCTGCTCTCAGGGCCTTCAGTGGGAAGACAACCAAACACAAGACAGTGTGAAGGACAAACCACACTAATCTTGACCTTTCTCCTTGAGCATAAAAGTATGGAGAGATTTTTCAAGGCAATTAACTTTTCCCTAGGGAGACATCCTATTAGAGCCTATCCACCATCTTTTTGTGACAACAGTAATTTTTATTTGTATTTTATTTATTTATTTATTTTTGAGACAGGGTCTCACTCTGTCGCCCAGGCTGGAGTGCAGTGGCACAATCTCAGCTTACTGCAGCCTCTACCTCCTGGGCTCCAGCGATTCTCCCATCTCAGCCTCCTGCATAACTGGGATTATAGGTGTGTGCCACCACACCTGGCTAATTTTTGCTTTTTGTTTTGTAGAGACAGGATTTTGCCATGTTGCCCTGGCTGGTCTCGAACTCCTAGGCTCAAAGGATCTGTGCCCCTCAGCCTCCCAAAGTGCTGGGATTACAGCCATGAGCCACTGCGCCCGACCCAAACAGTGATTTTATTATTATTTTTTTTTTTTTTGAGATGGGGTCTCGCTCTGTCACCCAGGCTGGAGTGCAGTGGCACGATCTCAGCTCACTGCAAGCTCCGCCTCCCAAGTTCACGTCATTCTCCTGCCTCAGCCTCCCGGTATCTGGGACTATAGGCGCCCACCACCACGCCCAGCTAATTTTTTGTATTTTTAGTAGAGATGGGGTTTCACCGTGTTAGCCAGGCATGAGCCACCACGCCCGGCCCAAACACGGCCCAAACAGTAATTTTAAAAAATCATTCTAGGCCAGGCATGGTGGCTAACGCCTGTAATCCCAACACTTTGGGAGGCCAAGACGGGCGGATCACGAGGTCAGGAGATCGAGACCATCCTGGCTAACATGGTGAAACCCCGTCTCTACTAAAAATACAAAAAATTAGTCGGACATGGTGGCGGGCGCCTGTAGTCCCAGCTACTCAGGAGGCTGAGGCAGGAGAATGGCGTGAACCCAGCAGGTGGAGCTTGCAGTGAGCCAAGATTGTGCCACTGCACTCCAGCCTGGGCGACAGAGCGAGACTCTGTCTCAAAAAAAAAAAAAAAAAAAAAAAGAGATAAAGAATAATTCCACGATGGGGAACCTTAAAGAGTCATAGAGTAGACAGAGTGGTTTAATGAAGCCCCATGACTGTCCAGTTCTGTGGCCACAATCCACAGCCAAGTCTGCTGCTTCTGCAGTCACCCCAGGCCCCACCCTATCTCATTTTGAAACAAATCCAAGATATCCTGTCATTTCATCTGTATTTCGATGTGTATCGCTGACAGATAAGGACCCTTTTACAAATATAATATAACCACAATACTATTATCACACATAAAAAGTTAACAGTAATCTTATGGTCATAAAATATTGTTAGAGTTCAAATTTCCAACTGTCTCATACATGTCATAATACCTTTTTACAGTTTATACTTTGACAATCAGGATATAAGTAAAGTTTAAACATTGCAATTGATCTAAATGTCTTTTAAGTCTCTTTCATTCTATAGGTTTCCTTCCCCATCTCTCTTTTTCTCCTTGAATTTCAATGTTGCCCTTTTACCGCTGGAGTAGACATTTTTACCGCTGGAGTAGACATTTGTGTTTTCAAACACGTGCGAGCTAA